GAATATCCTACGTATGAGTATTTGACCAGGTACAAGCTTCGTTAAGAGCAAAACCCTCGGTAGCCCAAAACCTAATAATTACTGTGCGGCTGAAATCTTGTTAAGAAATCAATGACCATCTGTAAGTTGCGCAGCGAGGTTCTGAATATTGAGGTACGGCCAGCCTAGGTACATATTCGTCTTCCCAGCCAGATAGCCGGGTATTATGACAATAATTGATAGAGGGAGGGGGTGCTTTCTCATCTGAGAAATGCTTGTTCGGCAATTATGCTGGCTCATCATGCACATCTTATGGACATCACAGCTCGTTCTAATATCATTGAATAGCACTCATTCATTCGGAATCATATGACGATCAGCTGGACACATTGCACCCCCCCCCTCCGTCTTGTTCACCCCATCCACTACGCGTGCTATGTGTAACTCGTCTGCCTTGGCCAAAGTCTACTAATGGCAGCTGCCGATACTGCAAGCAGATTCCAACCCCGCAAAATCGAAGAGGCATGTGCACTGGGGATGGGCGGAAAGGTTCCGAGTGCGGAATCTGGACTACCCGATTGTTTGTGCCCTTGGCCGCACAAGCCTCCCCAGCACCAAGTCCCTTTCTGCTAGGCTAGTCTACCCCGACTTTCTCGGTCTGGGGTAAACCTTCCATAGCCTCCGGCACAGGGATTTGTCCTTGGCTACTTTGTAGGCAAGCCTGTACGACGGAAATGTTCCTCGCAAGAAGAGGAGGACGGGACTGTAGGAAGTATCACGTGGGATACCATCAATGCACAGCTATGTTATAATAGATCCGAAGACCATCCGCTGAGTTGACTCTTCATCCCCTCAATCATCTCAACAGTGAGAATCGATTGCATTCATCTTTGGTCGTCATGGCTATTGCGACAGCCCTATCTCTTCTGCAGGGCAGCATTACCCAGTCGCCTTTGCGGGCGCTGACGGTGTTGGTCTTCACGGTCCCTATCATCTATATTATCTTGAACGAGTTCACTCGAGCGGCTGCAAGAGTGCCTGGGCTCAAAGGTCCCCGTGGCTTACCACTTATTGGAAACCTCGCTCAGATCCGGAAGAACGCCGCAGAGCAATATCGCATGTGGTCTAGAACATATGGACCAGTCTATCAGATTCAGCTGGGAAATGTCCCCGTGGTTGTTGTAAACTCAGCCGCGGCTGCGAAAACTATTTTTGGACAAAATGCACAGGCCTTGAGCTCAAGACCAGAGTTCTATACCTTCCACAAGGTGGGACAGTTCTTCACCCTCTTTTACCCCCCCCCCCCCCCCCCCAGCTCTCGTTAGCTCTCCCGCACAGGACAGGCTTAACATGTTAGTATAGATCGTCTCGAATACAGCAGGCACCACTATCGGCACTTCTCCTTACAGCGAGTCATTGAAAAGACGCCGTAAAGGTGCGGCCTCGGCGCTTAATCGTCCTTCTGTTGAATCCTACGTCTCTCACTTGGACGTGGAATCCAAAGCCTTCATCGAAGAGCTCAACCGTTATGGAAACAGTGGGAACACACCGGTAGATCCCATGGCAATGATTCAACGTTTGAGTCTGAGTCTATCCTTGACCCTTAACTGGGGTGTGCGTGTGGCATCCCAGGAGGAAGACTTGTTCGATGAGATCACTCATGTTGAGGAGGAAATCAGCAAGTTCAGGAGCACGACGGGTAACTTACAAGACTATATCCCTCTTCTGCGGCTGAATCCTCTCAGTGGGAACTCGAGAAAGGCCAAAGAAATGAGAGATCGGCGAGACAGATATCTCAACGCATTGAACCGGGATCTAGATGAGCGAATGAGGAAAGGTATACACAAGTCTTGTATACAGGCTAATGTCATCCTTGATAAGGAAGCAAAGCTCGATGCGGATGAGCTCATTTCAATCAGCTTAACGATGCTATCAGGGGGTCTCGATACTATAACCACGTTGGTGGCATGGAGTCTTTGCCTCCTTTCGCAACGACCGGATATCCAGGAAAAGGCCGCGAAAGCCATTCAGGAACTATATGATCAGGACACGCCGCTCTGTGATTCGGGAGACGATCAGAAATGCGCTTACGTCGCTGCTCTCGTGAGGGAGTGCCTAAGGTGATATACAGGACACCCCTGACCTCGACATACACTTCTGACTATCATTTTACATGCAGATACTTCACTGTCCTCCGTCTTGCACTTCCTCGAACATCCATCCGGGACATCACTTATAATAAAACGGTCATTCCAAAGGGCACCGTCTTCTTTTTGAACTCCTGGGCTTGCAATATGGGTCAGTGGCTACGCATGACTGAGTATGCCTTGTGGCAGAGGCTAATTTCATAGAGCTTCAATTAGACCCCGAAGTCTGGAAAGACCCCGAGGAGTTTCGACCCGAGCGGTGGTTGGAGCAGCCAGATGCCCCTATGTTCACATATGGCATGGGGTACCGCATGTGTGCGGGTTCTCTCCTTGCGAATCGGGAGCTATATCTGGTTTTCATGCGTACCTTAAATAGCTTCAGAATCGAACCAGTTGACGGTGTCGACTGGCATCCTGTGAGAGGCAACTCGGACCCCACTAGCCTTGTGGCGATACCCAAAAGGTACAGGGTTAGGTTTGTGCCGAAAAACAGGGCGGCACTTGCAGCATCGTTGGCTCGTTAATCGAGACCATGCCTGGTGACAGGCATTTTGATCGACTCGAGCCTTCTCACAATAGATTACCCGGATGGGATTTTTGATTGCTATTTACTGTCCTATAACATCCGCCCGACAAAAAAACGGCTGTCCGGCCCGTTCAAATGAACTTTTTATCCTGCGTGTACAAATTTGGGCATTGGGGTGCACTCCCTAGGCATACCGAGCCCGCGTATGATGAAAAGTATGGTATGCCATTGATTTGAGCCTCGGGGTTTCTCACTTGCCTCGACCGCCTGTTGGGTTGCGAAGGCCTGTAGAGAAGGAACGTTGGTAGATAATGAGGCTACTTCCTAAGTATTTCTCTAGTTTCTCTCTAAGCCCACGTTGTACTGATAAGTCGAAGCCCCTACTTGTACCGCGGAAGGGGGATTTATCCCATTTTGAGTTAGAGTCATTGATCAAGAAGTCTATTTATTAACAAGTTATCGGGTCTGATCCACCATCGGGGAAGAAAGCAAGAGCTGCAAAGCAATTTTCAAAGGGGTGTGCTGCCCATCACCCATCGATTGTTTTATTCTTGTGTCTCTTTCGGTATGGCAATACGTCTTATGTGACCAGGACGGCGATGATGCTATAAGCTAAACATAGCCTGACTTGAAAGTCTATGGTGTGAATTGCAGTCTCAGGGCTTGATAGTAGCAGTGTACATTTTGCACCATAGTAAAAGAACAGGAAGAAGTATGATATAGAAGGGGTTGTGGTTTAGTGGTATAATATTCCCTTAGCATGGGAGAGGTCCGGGGTTCGATTCCCCGCAACTCCAGCTTTTTGTCACTCAAGCCAGCAGGTAGCATAGTAGCCATGAGTCGATCCGGTCGGTACTTCCCAGAACATGACCACGCTATAAACACAGAGCCCATTCTCATCAGGAGAAGATGATTTACACCAGCGATCTTTCCCATGCAACCGGCATTAGTATTGGAAATACTGGTATTCCTATCAAAATACTTCCTATATCGAGAGATGTTAGAGCTCTTTTAGGCCGAAGAAGGTATTGTTATTGATATGGATATATATTATTACAAGATTTAAGCGGGGAGACAGACCTTCAGCCTCCTCCCCTACATGGCTTTTTATGCTGGGTCAGGTAAGTCGCCGGCCCCAGCCTGCGGCATGGGTCTTGCCGCGGCGGAGAACTTAGCTCCTGCAGGTGGTATAAAAACACTTGCACATTAACACAGGGTGCAATATTGTATATATTAAGACAAGATCTTAAGCGCGGGGGCCTGGAGCCTCCCCTATATAGCTTTTTGTACTAGGTCTCTAAGGTAAGTTGCCGGCTCCAGCCTGCAGTATAGGTCTTAAGCAACTGTTTATATATAGTAAAAGTGTCAGCGTCGCTAATCCGGCACGTGGTTCCAAAGGCCTTTTCCCACTTGTTTACGTGCGGGAACGTAGCTGGTTCCACCAACCACCAAGAAAATCAAGAAAACATGTTCCAGAGCCTACCCTGAGGAACCACGAAGCTCTACCGCCTACTTAAGAGGTTTAAGGCCGGCTGTATTGGAATTACGGCCGGTGTATTAGGCTGGGCTACCTGAACACGTAACATGGGTGTATACTTATATGCTACCCACTACTGGGATGTATGTACGTACATACAATAGTGAGTAAAAATCACTTAGGCTTGTCTAGAACTTGCTAGTTACACCCGGTAAATCGAAGATAAAAAATGGAGCTGCGGGGAATCGAACCCCGGACCTCTCCCATGCTAAGGGAATATTATACCACTAAACCACAGCCCCTTTGATACATATCCGATTTTATTAGTGTTATATATTCCAAATCAAGCGGGCCTGTTTTGACTACAACCATAAGTTAAGTGTATGCAAATGTCTGTATGCACACTGCTTAGATCATCATATGCATATTCATATGTGTATGTATGATTACAGTATGGGCTTGGGTTATTCATTCTTCCTTTATGGCTTATACAAGAAAGTCTCTAGCCACAAGGAAGAAGAAAAGAACAGGTTTGAAGAGGACGGGCAAATATGCAATCCAGGTTGGTAAATTATAACATATGTAGGGCCTGGATGGTGCCTTGTTAGTTCCGTAGTTGTAGCTGGTTCTTTCCCGTGTACAGTTTAGCAACACCAGCGAGCATGCCGAGGATGGAATAGATATGGCACCGTCTGTATATTCCCTATGAGGATCATAGGGCCCTTATCAGCAAACCATCTACCTTGTGAAGGGTCCTTGGATGGGATATTATCTCAGGATATATAACCCATGCCGTGCTCGCGCACTTGGTTAAAGATGGTAATCACCCGACTTCAAGACACTCATATAATCTCCTAAAGAGGCAAAAAGCTTGAGCTGCGGGGAATTGACCCGGACTTTTCCCATGCCAAGGGGATACTATACCACTAACCCACAGCCCCTTGTATATATATACCGGTTTATTACATATACTACAGTTATCCACAATTCCTTCTCCATGCCGTGTTCAGAAGTACCCAAGGAATTTACAACCGTGGAATACTCCATCATCCAGCTTGGAAGCCTCGCACATCACACCGTCAACGGTTGGCGCTGACCTACAACGATCAGAAACATAGCCAGCGGACAAGGCACGAGGCAACACATGATATCAGCAGCTAGTAAGTTGGGCCTAGCACAGAAGAGGTTGCACTCGATCCTAAGCCGCCAGTGGGTGGTAGTAAGCGTAATACATCAACTCTGTGAACTTCGCCTATACTAGGTATGAACGCCAATTCCGGGACCTCACCAAGTTCGGAAGTAGAAGCGGAAAGAGGTCGCAACGAGAGAACAAACCGTGCTCCAGCCAGTAACTTCTGACACACCTGCGGGCCATACGGGACACCGATTTTTTGATTTTTTTTTTTTTCACAAATTAAACAGATAGAAAAGCCTTGCTTGCTCGGGTTGCCACTGGCTAGAATACTAAAATTGACAGCCTGGAGAGCAGGAAGGGCCTCTTGGCAAGATTTGAACAGGTTTCAGGCAAAGGTTTGCGGGAAATTAGATAGCTCGGGAATAAAAACTCCCAAGCTTTGGCATCTATTGTGTTGTGATTGTTCCGAACATACAAACCTTCTTTTGAATATCCGATTGGCAAACGACATGACACGAGAATCTCGGAGGTCAATCCGCGAACGGTACGATCCGAACTAAGCCTGAACAGAGCCTATGGCCTCCAAAGCCATCATTCTTCCATGCTCTACAACGAGATTTTACGGGACTTGGCCCTGAGCGAAAGCGCCGGAATAGTGTCAGCTAAGACTGGGCTCTCTGCCCCAAGGTGGAAGCGCACGTGCTTCAATAGCGCCATGCCCCAAAAATGGCCCAATAATGGCGAGGTCACAGAATGCAACACCTGAGTTGTAGGTGCCATGCTCAACGGAGACATTTTTGTTGTATCCATCATATGAGCCTTCTCTGCCAAATTACAGCAACCCATACTTGATCTGATAATCCTGGAAAGCTGGCTTATGCCATGCCTACCAATGATTATTACCGGTCCCCTGATGCATCATGAGACTCAGCTGGCACTCTTATGAGGGTTGCGGGTAATTGTGGGTTGTTGAGATCGCTCTTGCTTGCGGAACGAGGGGTAACGGGGTTCACTATGGGTGACAATATCAGCAAAATGCATCCACCACAACTGAGACTTGAGAAGAGTAGGTAAAATGCTCACCCGAGGCCATACTAATCGCCCTCAGTACATTGTCCCAGTTTGCAAGAACACAGGCGACGGCTAAGAATAGAGAGCGGAGAGAATCAGCAGCAGCTAGACGAATATACTGACCTGGAAACATACCTTCAGTTCCATCTCTGAGAGTTGCAATTTTGATTTCCAAGGCTTGCATCTGTTCTGCCAGTGCACCGCTCATGTCTCGCAACTGCCTTAGATTCTCTAGCTCGGCCTTCTTAGAAGCTATACGCGCTGCCAAGGCCGATGACTGTTGTTGAGCGATGGCCGATGAGTGATTCGGCGGACGAAAGGAGGCTGCTGCGGAAGGTAGCATTGCGGCCAGTTGGGGCAACAGATATCTAGGAATCAGAGAGCTGTCGCTTTTTACCCTACAGGGGCGAAATGCTTGCAGTCTGTAAAGTGAGAATATAAGCTTAGTTCATGTGTATGGTCTCAGACGATGTTGAGTTGTTGTCACAGAGGTGTGGTGTCAGGCAAATGAGTACCTAGTACGCATTGATCCAGAACAGTGCCGTCGACTGGACATGGCCAAGTGCCAGCTGAGGGGCGGGACGGAGCCGCCACCACTAGTACAAAATAGGACAATTGTCAACAAGCTAAACCGCATCGTGTTTACCTGTTACCATCCTCCGAGGTATCTTGCCCAACTCATTCTACTGTAGGCGACAAGGGCCCCGTCGCGGAATCTCTCTTTTCCACCCGCGTGAAGGGCTAATCGACTTTGCGATAGCTTAAGAAGGAGATTTAATTGCCGCTGTCTGCGTTTGCGACACAAGCATGGCTCGATTGAATGAATCGACAACGACGGAGTCCATCGAAGGCTGTAAGTTCCACACGGCCAGAGCTCAACATTGCTATTCCCTCCGATACAGACATTTTGACAAACAACTAGTGAAGCGACGCTTTGTGCGGCAGAATCGCGAAATCGCCCGTGTCAATTCCATACAGTCCCTCCGCATCCGCAGCCTTGAGTCGGAGGTTTCTCACCTACTCGCCGAAAATGTTTCTCTACGAGAACAAGCGATAACACTGAATCGGGAGCTAGAAAAATATCAGGCTGTCAAGATACTTCAAGACGGGGTCTATGACATCAAGTCAAGACTGGATGCTAAATTGACAGAGTTGACCAATCTGGTAACTGAGCTGGGTGGGCTGCCGCGCGACTACAGAAAAAAGCAAGATACCGCGCAGAACAGGAGCCCGACGCAGCCATCACAGTCAGCCCTTAACTGGGAGCGCAGGACCGCCGAAATGGAGCAGAATTTCGCCTCTGAGGAGGAAGGAAAGCTTCCCGTGATACTAGAAGACAAGTATTTCCCAAGGAAGACGCTGGAGTAAGCATACAATGCGATTATCTCTATCAGGGTATGGATTCTTACTGCTCATAGGCCGCGCGATACACAAGGATTGCTCGACAGTGGTGCTATTGATCAACAGTCTCCGGCATCTCGGGCGCTAGCCACCATGGATACAAATTTTCCCATTCCTCCAAATGAGGAGCCCCCAGTCAACGGGCCGCTCGAGATTTGGACGAAATCAAATCATGCCGATGTGCTCCTTCCACTCACAAGTTGTCATGAAAAAGAGGAACACCAACTTGATGCGACGATTCCAGAGAATGATTCTGCGGCGTATGAGGCAGATCCTATGCGAACGAACTCGATATCTAGACCGATCCTCGGTGCAAAACGAAAGTTCTCGGCAGATATTGATGATCGATTTGAGAGCCAGCTGAATGGGAGCAACGATTTCGAGTATCGGCAAACTCGTTCACCCCCCGGGACAGTCGACCCAATTGACTCAACATCCGCCAGATCACCGTTTAAGGAAGACACACACCCACTTAGAGAAAGCAAGAAAATTGTCAAGCAAGCAAGACGGAGGATACTGAAGCAAAGTAAGGCTAATGTTTAATTCTGATCGTGCGGGTCGACATCTAATTCGAGGTATAGAAAGCACCAATGTCAGCATTCCATCACCAAGAAAAGCTTCCAATTCCATGCTCGATGATGCACACCTCCCGCGTGAAGATAATGTCATAGCAGCAGTCGATGATAAGGGGAATGGCCTGGGCCTTGTAGAGACTACATTATACACGCAGAGCGAGGATGATACGCTCGGCCGAGCGCCGACGCACCATAGCCCCAAAGCAGAAGCCGGGAATGCCAGTATGGCACGCGAGTCAGTGAGTCTAGGGTCCCTGACTAAAAATGATCGACTTGAGCAGCCGAAATCAAGAGCGGATACAGAGGATGCAGTAGCTGCCACTGGGTCATCCCGACCGACAAGGCGCCAGAGAGCCATTGTGAGTTATGCAGAGCCTAATCTACGCGATAAGATGCGCCGGCCTACGAACGAGTTAGTCGCGGCAGTGGGGGATCGAACACGGAGAACCTCTAGCACAATTGATGCCCCTGTGAGCACGGGAGAGGATGGGGATGCGTATCGGCGGCGCAAGTCGGACACGGCCAAGTCGCAAGTTTCGGGCACTACAGGGACTGAGTCACCGTCACCTGCCTTAAATCCAACTGTGGAATCTCCCTCGAAGAGTATGAAGATGGTGTCACAAAGGAGGCGCAAGGCCTCTCTCGCGAGCAGGTACGACCCTGCAACGACTCGCGAGACAGCCGAGGGTGGTAGTGAGCGTTCTGATCATCCGATCACTGATCTCGGGAATCATGGTCATGAGCCGGAAGGCCAAGGTACTGCTGCACTCTCAATCAAGGATAATTCAGATGAATGCCTCAACACGCGATTAACAGAGGCCACCTGTGGCAGTATGGCAAAGACAATATCGCGTGCACACAAGCCACAACCAGCTACTGCTAGACAATCGAAACGGCGCTCATCGAGCCTAAAAGCCTCCGAACAAGACACACTCAAGCTAAACGAGGCAGTCCAGGATTCCCGAGATATCATACCGAGTCTTTCCAAAGTATCGCCTATTAAATTCAACGAGAGACTTGAGCAACCGGATCACGACAGGCGCGCTTCAGCAGAAATAGTTCAGGTATCTTCGGCTACATCCGTCTCAACAGAGACAAAGCAAGTTAGCCGATCCCTGCGTGCCGCTGCTAGAAGAAGGAGTATGATGCTGTAGATGTTTCGTGGACCTGCCAATCAAGCAATGCTATGTACATAATATCAATAATTGGACTGGGTTCATGTCATATCATAACTGCCTGAAAAGCTATGGAACAGGAGACATTGCACGCCATCAGTAGCCTAATTCGTAAGGCTGCGAACCAAAATAAGAGTGTAGCATACTCCTTGAGATGGACAACGTCACAAAGGATGTATAGCAACGCCCCACCTTCGAAGTTAGGCCACGCTGGCTCGTAGAGATCCAATTGGTTCATGGAAGTGAATTCAATCTTCACAGCTGTACCTGGATTGGTTGGGTTACTAGGCTTGAATAAAGCTTGATACAACATCCCGAACACATATATGTAGGTTTGATAAGGGCGAGCTTTGAGTTCTCCCCAATAATCTATTCTTTGCTGCAAGCAAGGCACTTAGTGGTTCGAGAGACCATGCTCAACGATCCCTTGTTGTCTTCGGCATCTTCTCGTAGGCATTGGGGCTAGGTTTTCTTCGTCTTGTCTTTGCGGTATCCGATGGCTGTTCTGATGATGTATGTCTAGGGCTGTTGTTGTCACAACTCATGTGATGACGAGACCGCCGCCCGCCGTTACAATGAGTCTGATAATCAGCGCCGTAATCGGAATCGGAATCGGACTCACTGGAATCAGACGATTCTGATTCTGAGCTACTTTCACCGACAGGTCGAGCTTTATGGTATATGCAGCAGACTTGAGACAGATGAGCGATGTGTCGTGGAAGGTATTGGCTTGGCTCCCAGAGTGGACGCGTGCTTTCTCACCTTTGGAGCTTTTTTTCCCCATTCCCTCGTTGTCGATAACGTCATCTCTCCACTGTATATGCCGAGCTGGACTTCGAATATCACTGTGCTCATCGGGGATCGATCGGTCTTCTGCACTTTCTGCACGTAGTCTCAGAGTTGCTGATAGACGAGTCGTTGAAGGGCCCTCATTGGACTCCGCTAATGACTCGGTTCTGGAGCCACTGGGTGAAGTTGGAACTGTTTGATGAACTTGAGGCATCCTGGCAGGTTGGGAACTCTCGGTGGTAGGTATAGGTGATGGGTAAGTATGTCATCAAAGTTGAGATATGGAAGACTAGTTAAGCACAACGGGCTATAGTCATTTATCAATCTAACACAATCCTTCCGTCCTCGGGAAGAGGCCGGTCTGGGTGCAAATTGACTACTCCGTACGTAGTCAGTTTATCTCCACCAATGAGTAAGCACTGCCTTATGACCAACTGAACTAGTCAGTTCATAAAACTAGTGAACACCTTTCCATAGTTATCCTACCTACGGAGTACTAATCTTATAATAATATACAGAAGAATCGAACTTCCAGTCTCTTTAAAAATACTTAACCATATATTAAGATGTAATATAATTAGGTAATTTTTACATGCAATTGTCAGCGGGCTGCCAACTTGCCTGCGCTGCCTGCTACCTTGATTCAATATCTAGTCATGCCTCACGTACCATGCCGAATTGGTTGCGGTTAGCGCTATTTTATCAAGTTTAACTCGGATGCATCCTCCTTGCAATACAAGCCTCAGACCAGATTGCTGAGTGAGATGACAAACTTGCGACTCTTGTTGCAGTCTGTCTCTTCAGACACATCATAGTACTATCTCTCCACAATATCCATGAAGACAAGGCACCTCTATGGGAATAGAAATACACCCTTTGAAAGAATCTCCCTCTTTTAGCCACTAACAAGAAATGATATTCGTCCGGGCCCCCGCTTGAACGGAACAAATGTGTACAAGAATTGATCAATTGCTAATGTCAACCACATCAAGGGAGCCTCGAGATGAGATGGCTTGGAATTCATTCGCCGTGGAGCATGAAGAAGAGGAAGTAGGAGTTCGTGGTAAGATGACTCGCCCAAAAGCGAATTAGTCTTGGTTGGGTATGGGCCTTGGGCTTTTGGTCGAAATCAGAAACCATAATACGACCAGCCATCAAACATGTCACCGCATGATTCTGAGTCTCTTCCAGCCTTCGATGACACAGAAACCTCGGCGCGAAGTTCTCTTTCCAGTCAGATCTCTTCGTCCTGGTCCATTTCAGACGGCTTCAACAACCCTCCAACTTTCAATGCACGGTCCCGTTCGGCGGCCTTGGCGTCTCGCGCTTCCTGTTCCCTTTCATCTGCGTATAGTTCGGCATTGTCACCCGGATTTTCTTTCAGAGAAATCAAGAAGTCTCGGAGATGTGTCTTGAACTTGTTGAAATCATCGTTGTAAGTAAATAATCCAGCGACGAATTGTTTGGCCGGGATTCTGATTCCGTAGTCAGTACGAAGATTCTGAGACAAAGGTAACCGAGAAGTACATACTCTTGAAGGTTCTTAAATGCACTGTGTAGGGTTTCCGCCAAATACCTCTGCAAGAAATCTTTGTTGCTTGTTCCCATGGGCACTTGGCCAGGAGAGTAGATAGGCTGCTGCACTTTGCCGGACTCTATGAAGTAGAACATGCGCGACAAGAGCATAGCCTGAGACTTGAAACCTGAGGTAGAGAGGATGAGTATGGTCTCGAGATGGGCGGAATAAAGCATGCGTACCAGCCTTGTGATTACTATCACTGAGAACAAAAAACACATCCCCAAGGATCTGGATGAAGAACCGTTGGAAGAATGCATTCGACGTCTGAACATCCGTTTCCGCCATGTTGTTTATGAGTTCGAGGCACATTGTAAGGCCGGTGTTTTCGACTTCGCGGTTGACATGTTTACTTGCCCACATGCAGGAATCGATGACAATCTTGAACTGCGGAGGCTGTAGCTTGAGTAGGGCCGGAAAGCAATATAGATTGATTGCTTGTAGCAGTTTGAAGAACTGCACACGATGGTCTGGGTATTCGTGGTAATCCTTGTTGATCATCTCCAGAGTGCATTCGAAGACACTCTCCATTATCATAGGAACCTTATCCTCCATGAGGTTCTGTCGGTGTCGTTAGCTCCTAGTATACATAAGCATCTGTGGTAGTGGATATTGAGGACTCACGTGTAGCTTGTGAATAATTGTAGTCATGACGCTAAGAACTTCTGCCTCACGGGCATCTGGAACATTATGATTGTAATCCACAAGAACAGCCTCAAGCAAAGGCGGTACCATGCTAGCGTTCACCATCTCTAAGTCGTCGGCTTTTTGCACGTAAGTGTCTATGAGCTTCAAGATCTCTTTCTTGATTGTTCTGAGTCCTCTGACTCTGGGTGTCTTGGTTGCAATTTCACCTAAAAAAGTACGTCAGAGGTATGCTCCATAAAGATAAACAAGGCAAAGATGATACTGGGCAATAAAGACGGGAAAGCTGAAAGAGCAGGTGGATAGGGTAGGTTATTACCATCTTGCGCAACAGCATTGTTGATGAGTTGACTGGACGCCCGGTACATGTTCAACATATCATGATAAATTCGTCCGAGCTGGGAATAGAAGTATGTTCCGATCGAAGAGCACGCAGCCACATTTGTTTTCATGATATTGCCAACGATCTTGATTGTGTCACCATCCTCCAGGATTTTGGGATTTTGAGTGGCCTGTCCAATGATGGAATCCCAAGCAATGTTGGGCAATGACATAAGATTCTCAATCAATCGGTCCTGTAAGCTTTTCTGGCCCTGAGCAGAGATCATATAACCGCAAGCCTCGTAGAAAGTATGGACCTGCTGTGGTGAGAGGTCGCAGGTGATTTTCCTCATATTGCGGACTATCTCCTCGATAAAAGGTTCGTTCTCGCCTGGCTGGAGCGCAACGAAGTGTCGTCGACATTTGTTGGCAATCTTGATGAAAGTGTCGCAAGCCATATCCTGGACACCTGCACGCTGTTAGGAGGATTGCCTAATGCTGTGAGTGGACAAACTTGCCTTCGTGTGTTTCATGCATGAATTCGAACAACTTGTTAACCACCGTCTTCAAAAACTTCCAGTGCGCCTTCAGGAATCTGGGGTACTGTCCCACAATATACATGATGTTACTAGCGACGACGGCTTTGTTGTCCTTTCCGCGCTTCATCTCAGTCAGGCCAAGTAGATCCTTGATGACATTGACCAAAAATCTCTTTTCAGTCTCTTCGTTCATCGCTCCGGAGATTGACCCAATTGCCCAGCAGAGAGTATTACAATTGTTCCAAGACCACTCGGACCCATCAACCTGCTTAGCCAGCTTCTCAATCATGATATTTTCGGTGTCGACAACGTCCAGATGAGTGAGATAAACCAGACATTCGCGAATTGTCTTGTAGAGCTGGATAGTATCGCTCTCCTTGACAAATTCGCGAACGATCTCGCCCTCGTCGTTCTCGACAATTAGAACTTCTTCGGGCCGAACGATTTTCTCAATCATGACGGTGCGTAGGCTGGAAAGGACCTCCTCGTATTTATGTTTGCGAAGGGTGTAATTGGCCAAGGTGCTGGGATGCGGCGCGCCTCCGTTTGACAGCCCGCTTACACCCATGCTCACCAGTGGGTTAATGTCGGTGATCGGAAGCTGTTGCATCTCTTCATAGAGCTCTTGCACCAATTTTGTCCAATACTCCAAGCAGATTTTGAACACCTCTCTGTCATCGATTTGACTGATACGGATCAGGTAGAAATGGGCGTGGGTGAGGTAGTCACGATTGGGAAGCGTTTCAACAAGCTTAACATGGCAGTGATATCCGATCAGCGCCTGGGGAAGGGGAAACAACAGATGTAGTGAGAACTTACACTGAGATGAGCACTAAAGAAGCTGCAGAGAAAAAGAGCCAGATTGAGAACGAACTCCTGATCTCGCGAATTGCTCTTAGAATATGTTGACTTCAAATCCATCGACAGAGGTATGATCGTAGAGACAATCGTTAAAGTCTCCGTGAACATACGGACCAACTGATCATCGTAATTATAAGGGTTGCCGATCTGGAGCCCACCGATCTCTGTAAGGCATTTAAGAGTTACATTGCGGTACTCTGCATTGCCCAGAAAGCGGGTCAAGAGGGTGTTAATTATGGAAGTTTCGAAAATGTATCCGAGCGGAATCCAGTTCAAGAACCGAAGGAGGGTCTCCAGTGTAGCTTTAATCAAAGTCGTCTGGTTCGCGTTATCCAACACCTGGGAACACAGCTGAAAAATGGAGGAGAATTCGTGGGTCATAGAGGTCTTCAGGTTCCTCGCTTTCACGGAAGTCATTTGGTCCTGAGAAAAATCGAAAACCTCCTCGGACAACAAGCGGAGAATGGTCATGTTGTTTTCGCAAACCGATAGGCTCGAGTGGCACGATGAAATGATATCGTTTATGAATGTCGGCCAGTTGTGCGGCCATTCTTGCTTCAAGATCGAAACTAGCACCAGATTAAGCTTGTTCAAAAAAACGCGTTGGCTTCTCAGCTTTTCCTCTGTTTCGGAGTTATCAAGGATGAACTGGACGATAAAATTTCGGATGCCTGGTAAAAGTCAGATAGTTCCCTATGCACCTTCATGAGACGGCCTTTACCTAGGCACTGCTCTCTCGGCAGAACCTTCCATCGTGTCATGATCACATCGTCGAGGACCTGAAGAGCAAGATCTAAGCAGAGTCAGTACCCCGCAAGTTTCGATGGATATATCTTTCGGTATCGTACATTTAGTTTGTGGATATGAGGATTCTTGGAGGATATTCGCTGCAAGCATCCAGGCGTCCTCATTTTGTTTAAACTGAGCATCAAGCACAAATCAGAAAACCGCTCTTGGGAGATGCCCATGAAAGTTGCTCACTTACATCAGTCAGGGTCTGCTCGGCTTGTTTTTGCTGTGTGCAGTAGAATTGGCGCAGATTAGTGAATCTAAGGTCTCTCGAGTTCGAAAAGTGGCGGATGATAACTCACCAAGTCGCCCTTGCCCTCATAGAAGGCCCGGACAGTGTTGTCCAACTCCTGTATGGAAACAGACATCCCGCTCGAAAGTTTGACGTTGCTGTTTTTGATTAACCTCAGCCTTCGAGGAGGAACGAAACTGGGTGAGTTCGAATATCCCGTGAAGACTGTGGATTAGAGAAGTGCCGAAGATAGAGCAGATGGGCAAAATGCTTTGGCGGGGTAAGAGGCTTCCTTGGAGGGGTTCGACGGAGGTAAGGAGAGCTTGGAGCAATCTACAGTTCGAAGATGCACCATTCACAAGGGGGGCTGGAAAAGTGGGGTAACTCAACCGCGAGGCAGTAGTAGCTTAAATTGAGCGTTCTGGCTTTGGGATAAGGATATGATGTCTGAGGGTAGACTAAAATCAGCAGATGTCTGGCGGTGAGAAACAGCGCGTTCCTTGGAGTGTTGGCGGCTCACTTCTTGGATTAGCTAAGTAGCTGACCATACACTTCTGCACCGCCTTCAGGAATACTGCCGCCGCGGCAATCTTCATGCTGCCATGTCCCTGCGGCACGCTGGGCTTGGCAGCTTTCCTTAAACTACGACGTCTAGTTAGTAACACGCCATCATCTCCTGCGTAAGATAGAGTAACTTTACACTTACCAGAAATTCTATACCAATCTCTATCACCCGCAGTATTTCGCACGATCTTTGAACTCTACTTTCTAAAATGAATGATTGTCTTCTGGCATATCTGAAGGATATACTAAATAATACCATTTTGATGAACGAGCTTAACCATATATG